AAAAAAGACCCGCAAGAAAGAAATCCTAAGGGGAGACAATGCAGCCGCCAGAGCGATTTAAGTATATACGCTTTGTCTCGCATCGCTAACGTTCACCAATTAGCTCTCGGCGCGTGTCAATCTAGGAATTCTAGAAAGTTATTCATCAAAACAATATTGATGGAAACTAAAAATAATAAATAATACTACAAAAAAATTTTTATATTTTAACAACTAGCTTGAGCTTCCAACAAAATTATTTTCAGATTTGTATCCAACAAAATTTCAGCTCTTTCAGTAGAATTATTTTTTAGACTTCTTTGGAAAAAAATTACACTATCAGTGCAATTCCTAATAAAGTGAGCGATAAGATTAATGAAACGTTGGCATAACCTTAACGGCGATAATCTTTTAATATCTTTGAAAATAAGACATAAACGGTTCTATTTAATTAACTTTATCATTAATTAACTTTATCATTTTTATTAACTCACCTTATATTGTAATAAAAAATAAATATATATATATTAATTATATATAATATTGACGATATATAATCGAGAACAATGATCGACGCAGTCATTCGTGCGTAATAATTAACGAATGTATTATTCGAGACATATTATTTATTACATAAAAAAACAACAAAATTAAATAAAATTAAGTTTCGACTCCGTTCAAGCCATCATCATGTCCCAAAATAGATTCAAAAATTAATCGTAACGATATATATATATATACATACGTATATTTAAATACATATATATTCAAATTAGAAAATTATAAAAATATTTATATTTCCTAAACTATTAATTTAATTTTATTACGATCCATAAATATAGAAAGAATTAATTAAATAGATTTATTTGATTATTCTCCTATTATCCTCTTTTTTTTTTATTTAATCTTCCGTTTCACTTTGTTAATGCAAATTATACGATGAATATCAAAAGAAGTATTGTTATGTGTTTTTTCTAAAAAAAGTGTTTTTTTTTTCCGGTAATAATGATCTCAACAATAATGGACAACTTTCGAATTTTTTTACTTCCGCGAGCTAATGCGCGGGTTGTCATTAACGCTGTCCTTAATTAAGTAAAGCTTCTCTGGTTACTAGAGAAATGGCGGAAGCAATAATTTATACTACAGCGATAAGGTGCGATCATGAGTAGGATATAATATTTTACGGAAAAAATAACTTTTCTTCAGTGGCGATCGAGTAGAGCCGAGTACTTGCCCGAGTTCCCCTCTCGGCGTTTCTCTTTGCCTAAGATTTTATAGCGGATGCACGCACTACAGAAAGATTTTACAGCGGATGCACGCATTACAGGATTGTTGTGAGACTACCGAACAGCACACAAAAAGCATCGTATTTTATAAAGCAAACCCCCTCCGTCAATGTTTAATCAGAAAACACTTCTTCCGGTCTCTTAAGAACTTCCTGTGCCTTCCGAGAGGTTCTCATGAAAATATTCAGGATACATAATTAACGAACACAATATTAGTCTGAATCTTGTTTTTCAAATTGTCATATGAAAATCAACTTCTTAAGATTCTTAGGAGACAAAGAAAACATATAAGTCAATCGCATCTCACTCAACAGCGGAATGGACAGTGGAATGGACTGTGCTACGAATTCGGGTGACGCCGCTTCATTCACCGCACATTGGCTTATATGTTTCCTTTTTAATTCAAAACGGCAGCAAATATCTCAAAATGGTATCAGATTTTTTTGTTCCCCTAGACCTATTCTACAACCCAAATGCGGATAACGTCTTACGTTATTTTTGAGATACTCTGTATATTACATTAAAACAGTGTTATAGTAATAACTATAATTAAATGATAAAGTAAAAATTAATTAACTTAAGCATTTAGCAACTGCATTTAGTTGACTTGCAAGCCATTGATTTTTTAAGAAGTCATCGTACTTAATTGCGAAAATGCAATCTTGCGGAAGTAACGAACAAATAATGTAAAACTGCTTTCCGCAAGTTGCGAAAAGAATGGAAGTAATTGCCCGATAAAATGAGAAATCCAAATGCGACCGTCAGCATTGATCTGAAACCATGACTCGAACAATTGACCAAATTCAAGCTAAATCAGTAGATTAAGTAGATTAATGAACATTGTAAATTATATTTTATGTAATTGGCTTGTGATTTCTTTTTTTTCGTATATTTCTTAACACATTCACACCTTAGTAGTAAAGGCGGGTTCTAACCCACGGGGCTAGAGGGGAGCGCGGGGCGCGGAGGGTACTCGTTGGTGCGGGGGATGTTCGTAACGCAGTTTAGGAGGGGGAAGGTCGCAGCGCTATTGATGGACCTCATTCCTTATTTATTGCCGCCTCTCTGTCTCCAAAAATGCAATAAAGATGCATACACTTACCGCATCTGTTAATATCATCACCTACTACCATCTGTTTTTTTTTTTCTTCATCTTTTCCGCCGCCGCCGCATCTCGTTATATTTTCATGCATGCAAACATATTTTATTATACGTTTTAAAAAGAGAATATGTCGTGACAATACCGTCGAAGATGCTCGCGTAATTTAGCAGAAATAAAAAAGAAACAAATAGATGTGAAATCTGAGTAATACAATTTAATTTGTAAATTTATATTTTTCACGCTACATAAAAATATTATTATAATAAAAATCTTAATTAAAATTTTAAAAAATTTAAATAGGATGAGACGCCGTCGTTTCTGTAAAACAAAAGCGTTACATTAGCATGCAACATATAAGAAAAGAAATTTAAATACATAATAAATATATAATAAATTTATGATACTTACAATTCCAATCTTCCGGCTCTGGATCAGGCTCGTACGGTCGGAGGCCGAACAGTTCGGACAGGAAGAAGTCGCTTTCCTCCCATATATCAAATTGTTCCTCCTGGTTCCGCTGTCTCTCACCTCGTATCATTTGCCATGCAGCAATATTTATGAATCTCTGATTTGCACGCAAAAACGAGATACATCCTGAAAAATGGATAAAATGAATTTAAAAGAAAAAAAAAATAGAAAATAAATCTATTTGTTATACTTACCGAGGGGATAATTTGCACTCCCACCTCGTTCCGCAATTGCAATCGGACTTGCGGCTCCTCT